AGTTCCTGGTCTAGGCACACTACTGTGTAGTGTATACTAAGTAGTGTACTTATGAGTCTGTGACATCGCTGCGCAGACAGGACGCTGAGATTGGCTAGGCGGACCATCCGCCACTGCGTGGATGCGGGAACCTTGATCCCGGCTTTGCTCTGCACATCTCTTTCCCCTTTTCCTTTGCTGGGGGCGCACCCTTACGGATATTTTACAGGGTGTGACCCCGTACAGTAGAATAGTGTAAAGTAATTGCCTATGTTTCAGAAGCAGAAATCCCTCGATTGGAGCTGTCATTGATAATTAAGGTTCTACTGCAGTCATGGATGGCGGTCAACCCTTAGTGTCAGGGATTATACTTCTAGAACACAGCGTAGTAACAACTATACCTAGTATACGCATATACGCCACGCGGGCTTACATTGCGAGGGACCAACGAGAATTCGACTTTGAGACAAACTACATTATTACAACTGTATAACTAGTTTATATCTGTGTATATACATTATATATAGGTAACGACTGGCGAAACCGGCGTGGGCGCATCATCCATCGCCTTTTCCTCTCCCATATGAGGGCGTGCTATATACAGTAGATTCAAAACATGATCACGCTTCCATCTCCGTTACTTTTGGGTAGAAAGCACTTGGGGTGACATTCTATCAATTTCGAAGGAATGGCCGCATTACCTGCGGCCTACTGTACTCCATGGTTGGACTGGCGGTGGTTCTCCCATCATCCCTCCTTTTTGCTGCTTATTGTTTTCCCACTGCCTAACATGTTAGCACGCTCAGTCATTTGACTACCTACAGGCTATAGTCATACGCATCCTCATCTCACGATCACCCCGTTTCTATGGCATTGGCGCGACACCACTACAAGTTATGTGTCGACGAAGTAGCATCTCGGCATGTTCGCTTTGGGAGAAGCTATTGGGCCTAATATCCATAGATCAATTTACTATCTACGTTAGTATACCGAGTTTCAATGCAAAACAATCCATACTAGGTGAGAGTGATACTCCCAGTACTGTACACTTTTTACCTATATACTGTATGTATCTATTATACTACATACGAGATAGGCTAGATGTTTCCAGTAGTTCTCAGCTGTCGGTCAAGGGGTACATTTTCGGTTTCCCCCCTCTCCTGGATGGCAAGTATCGCCCTGAGAGCTTTGACGAGCTGGAACAAGCATCGATGCTATCCAGCCTGCCAAAGTTGGGGGTTTTATGACTGTCGAGTTCTAAAGCAGCTCGCGGGCTCTCGGGTCCTGATCGGGTACCGCTATGTTGCATTGCGCATCTCCCGGCTTGCTCGGTAACAGATAGGTTGCGAGCAAATTACTCAGGAGGGTTGGTCACAAGACTTAAGCGTCCTGTTTGGCTGCGAAAAAGAGCTGTGCGCAGTAGCGTTGGCTCACAGTTAGTGTAGTATTTACCACTACGTTACCTACAGTACAATCACTCGGGTCGGCTTACATTATCTGGAAAAATCTGGAAAAGAGGTGCACTACTAGATAGCTGCAGTGTACTATATTAGTGTAGGTCCCCGGATACCCCTGAACCTGGCTCGACGCTCCCAGAGGCTCCAGCTGCCGGACCCATGGATTCTTTGTTAATACACTGTACACATAAGTTATAAGCCAAGTCATCGGAAATTCTCTACTTTGAGTTTAGAGCAATCCTCGTTTATAGCCGAGTATAGTCAAGCTGCTCTTAGAACCATTCTATTCTAGGTCTAGCTATTCGGCCAGGTACAATTATTTCACGGCATCGTTCCCACATTTCATCATGACCAGATGGTGCTTTCAGGAGTTACATCGACTCCTTCAATACATTACGCACCCTTTGGCCTCCTTTCTCCGTTGCGCCCTTTACAGTAGGTAGATGAACAATAACAGTACTGAGTACAGTACAGTAAATTTAATTTAATAATATGTGCAAGGATAAACGCACCGCCAAGGAAGTGAGCCTTGCGTCGTCGCAAAAGTACTACAACTACAATACGCTACTATCTTACCTTTCTCCCTCTTCACACCACCGCTTCCTTACAAGCAAGGCGGTTGACTATTCCCTCTTTGTATTTCACGCTATATCACTGGGGACGAATTGAATTCTCGGATCTAGGCGACACCGACCTCTTAGAGAAGACCAGTTGCCTACCGTTTCCCTTAAAACCACCCCTTGCATTGTGACCCCCAATTCTTTTGTTCCTCGAACAAAAGCTGGTCACCTGCCTGGCGCTGCCTCCCACGCTCCTCAGCCAATATGATGTTTTGATAGCAAATAAAGACTTCAGCCTCTCTGCTTGCGGATCATCACACGTCGAGCGCTTGATAAGAACGCTTTGCGCTACTCACCGCGTAATAATAACGAATAACTACCACACTCAGAAGTAGCCGCAATTCTCATGGAGGGCATTCTTCTTGCACCCCCGGATCGGGGTCCGATTATTGGAAAGCCTGTCTGGAAGGTAGCCACCATCACCGATTGCGCACTCATCTCACTTCATCGGAATGCTAACTGATTCTATCTCTAGCCACGTTATATCGTTGTTGGCCCACAGCACCAAAAAGAAGGCCAGTCGTCGAATCTCTCTCTTTCCCAGGTTTTGTCTACTGCTCGGATAAGAGATGTGGGGGTTCGGTCTTCGAAATCGCAGCAGAAGGCTCCTGCGGACGCCCTCTACTTTTCAGTATACAAGTCTAAGGTGTGCAATGTCGATCTGAATGTCTACCTTGCATTGCTAACATGGCCATAGGAGGATTACGAGCCTATCATTCAGCACTCGATTGCGTCGATAACGGAGTGCCAAGTGCAACATATTGCCCACCGGAAGCAAGGTCATCTTCTCCCTACTCTAACTATGCAAATCTCCCCCGATCCGGCAACCGACAAGTTACGAAAACGTCGATCGAGCCGTACTACTGGGTTAATCACGAACAAAGATTCTGGTCCGACAAAGCTATGGTTTCTTGCTACTGAGGAATCGCGGTATGGCGTAAACGACTGGGCAAGGTATATTCAGTCACTCATGCAACACCAGCAGTCCATTCCTATGAGCCCAGTCAGTCCAACATCGCCAGCCTTCGTGAGCCCATTTCCGCCGATACAAGATACTGTCGAAAAGCGTGGACCGGTTTCTAGTGCGAAGGGAAAGTTGCGGTCCAAGTTGCAACCTAGGTCATCCGGTAGAACTCGCCCATCGACACGGGAACAAAGCTCAGCATATACTTCTGAGTCACCTAGCTTGCGCTCTCGCAAGAGTGACCTTTCTTCTCACGGGAGCTCCATGGCCCAGGCTAGTATGAATTTTGTGCAGCAACATTACACTAACCTACAGCACTCCGATCTGCCTTCTCCTGCTTCCACCTTGGACGAGCATCCAGAGCAGTTCATAGAGGGATGGACAGCGTCACAAGGACGCTCTTCTGCCTTGAGCTCTCCTGTCAGGGCCCGCGCCAGCATCAGCTCCTCGCACGACCCCAGTCAACCTAGCCTAGACTCCAGCCCTCGCATAGCACCTCGTGAGACCATTTTAGACCGGGCCTTCCAATTGCGGTGTATTCCAGGATCTGATAGAAAGGTTGCTGGAGAGGAGAAGCTTACGTCACTTGCAAGATTCGAGGCACTCATGAGTGAAGCAGATAATCGCCAAAGAACCATTAAGAGGAGAGAAACAGCGCAAGAACCTTTGAAGAGCACATGGGATGATGATGACAGCGATGAGGATGCTTTTGGCAGGGAAGCTGAAAATGACGACGATGACGATAGCGATAATTATGCCCTCGAACACTACGATGAACATAACGAAATGGATGCCTCGTTGAGGGCGCTTCACTTCATTGCGGATCGCCACAACTCGACCTATAGTGAAGCTGGGCTGAGCAGTATTCTACGGCCGCACACGTCACACTCACGAAACCGGCCGGTAGCCCAACGGACGAATAGCCAACCTCACATTCATGGACCGCCGTTGCACATGCTGTCATCTTCTCCAAGAGTGCCAGAAGGAGTCCCGATGCGGCGAGCTCACGAGAAACGGCATTCGACTTCGGACGCGAAGAATCTCAGTTTCAACGAATTTGCGAAACGATTGAGCGGTACGAGTAGTTTGCTTCTTGTGCAGTCAAACGCCAGCACCGGTAGCAATCGTGGCAGTGGCGATTACGACACACATACGCCTCGTGGAACCCAGACTCCTGATGACCGCTGTCGGTGGCGTGGCAGTATCGGTGTGTTCGGGAACGAAGGCGGATTTCTATGATTCAACACCGCGAAAACTCCGTCTTTTGTGCGGATTCTGTTCGGAATCTTCATCATACTACTACTTGAACCTTCGACTGTATTAGTTACGACTTAGCCCCATGGCCTTTATACACGACTTTACGATAATCGGCTTCGGGCCCAGCGTTACGCGATGTTAGACGGCACAGCATGTCATATTTTATGATTCTCAGCGTACGACATGACCCCGATGCCCTTTTTAGAACCTTCTTTCTTTGTAACTATTTTTGAAAAACTACCGGGAAACAAAACGACGGGATATTTGAAGACGAATTACCATTTTTTGCAATTTAACCATTTGGATTCTGGAGCGCGTTTACGAAAGGGAATTTAGACTGGACGCTCTCGGCCAATTAAGAGCCGTTGCACTCCTCTCTTCTCATAGCACTAGACTTAAATATCTTGTCATTTTAGCGATGTTGGACGGACAACAGAGAGATCATGGACGACTTTATCAATATTATTTTGCGAAGATATGAGAGATACCCTTGGGCACCATAGAAAATAGCAACAATTTAACAAACATGATAGTTGTTTAGCGATGCAATGCTTAAGTCTTTCCTGGTCTGCATGTGATTGTATATTCTAATTATGCCATGATCGATTCATGTATTCAATATTCACAGAATCTTGTGCGTCATACAACAACAGTATACCAAGTGCTGAGAAAAAAAAAAAAAAAAAAAAAAGAGTTAAAATGCATCTTACTCAGCAAAAGTAATGGACGAACGGGGATTTGAACCCCGGACCCTTCGCAAGCAGGATATCTGTGAACACCAGAGGTGCAGCAGATTGTATGCAAAGCGAATATCATACCCCTAGACCATTCGCCCAAAGATTGGCTTCAGCTGGTTAGCCGACCGCATTGCATCGATCACGGGACTCGAACCCGCAACCCCAGACTTAGGAGGTCTGTACGCTACCATTGCGCCAAATCGACAATTGACGGTTGCCGTTGTAATTGGGTACATCAACTTTGCTAGGGGATTGGAATTTGCGAAATCGGAGCTAAGCGAAGGGAGGCTTGCTTTAGCTTCGCTTCATAGTGAGCTTATGTAATTATATGAGACTTGGAGGCACAGGAACAATATGTACGTTGTATGAAGTGTTGTCGCTTAGAAGACCTGCGCAAGTTCGAATATGACATAAAATTAGATAGTCCTGTCTACCTTTCAAACTTGTTGGGTACTATTAAACATACATACTAACTAACCTTAGTGAGAAGTGTAAAGGCTACCTACCCATGTAATCTAGTTGGTCACAAACCTAAAGTCGACACCATATCCAATGCTTAAATGTGTGTTTCATTCTATCATCGGGAGAACAAAACTCTCATCAACATTTATTTACACAAGCTACTTTTAGGCGCTAGACCTCTCATATTGTCGTATATCTCGAATGTCTTCTTCGAAAAAATTGTTTGAGATATCCGGAATCATGACAACCGTCGACTTGTAATTACGGAAAGACACTGAGACAGTTGTGTTAAGAATACGTACATTCTCAGAAGTGACCAGCATGTTACTCAAGTCCAACAGTAGTCATCTATGTGCCAGCCACCCCCGAGCCACCTACAGGTCGGGCATCGCAACAAATAGTTGTTAAGTTGGTTGGGGGTGAGTATCAAGGGCTTATCATCTTAAGTTCCAAAGAAGTGTTTATACGAGTAGCTGGTAGCGATATACCTTACCTTATATGCCACACCCTAGTATGCCAATGTATATGATGTCTTGAACCGCGATTCGAGAATCAGAGAGTGCAATTCTACATATGTTGCTGTCTCTTAAGTTCGAAGAAGCAAGGTCTTTTCTGCCACGGTGTGTCTGACATAGCTAGCTACCCAGCGGTTAATATGAAGCACGATAACTTGCTACGGAGCGTTCCATCGTCCAGTAGTAGTGATTTATATATCATCAAGTCGAAGCCACCGTCACAATGCTACAACCGCTTTCCCTCTCTTAGCGATACTCATAGCATATATATATATATATAGTTCCGTACTTGTGGAACGAGGCCGATACACACATACATACATACAGACAGAGCAGCTCTTCCAGCCAAACCTATGAATGACACCAACTTGCGTTGCACGGATCAGCTGTAATAAGCTATGTAGATATCAAACACCAACCCAGACGCACAATTACGTAGTATCGTCACATGGGCTCCGGGGGAGCAATAACATCCCCAACATGCAGCATACGTCGTGAACAACGAATTTTAATTTCAAGAAGATAAAACCAAACGCCCAACACCTTAAGCCGTCTGTCTACCTTCGGATACTCGAAACAGATCCCAAGCTCTCGCGCAGCAAGTCATAACTCAGCTAAACCACCTAACAAAATAATGGCGAGAGGAATATTTCTTCCGCATTGAATCGACGAATGACACAAGAAGCGTGCGCCTACTAAATAAGCCACCCACCTACCCTAACACCAATAGACCGGGGCTTCCAATGCAATGTATCTATGTAGTATAGCAACGTCGTAAACCTGTTACCACCAAGAGTACAGCCACGACTGGTTACAAAGCGGTTAAGAATAATCATCTCAACAAAAGACAATACCCGAAACGCCGCATCTCATGTTGATGGCTACAATATGTCTTGCTAGCCGGGTATTTCTAACAATAGACTGGCAGCATTTCCCACCCTGACAATTCACTTTGTGCGGATTCCCTGGTTGAAGGGTGCTCGATCCTCTCACAACATTGATTATGCCAAACCCTCTTGCGCCTACGAACTCCAGACAACGTTTTTGATGGAAAAAGCCAGCCAATCTCAATAACCGCCCCGCCTCTGCATGGCACTCGTATCGCTTCGGCTTCTATCCCTACCAGCGCCTTGGCGCACAGCATCACTATAACTGGGAATTGGGGGGTTATTCGGGCGGAGTGCGGCAGCAGAAGCCCCCCGATTCCGTATTGGAGTCCTGATTAACGGAGCAATATCGCTCTCAGAACCGCTGCCATCCTCGTCGGAATGTTCGGGACTGGTATATTCGGGTGGTGGATGTGAAGCTTCGTGCAGGCTTAGCCCAGCGATGTTGACCACATGATCTCCGGAGGGCGCAAAGCCATGGCCGCTGTTGCTCCCTTCGCCTGCCTCATCCGTTGGGACTAACTGTGCTAGAGAAATATCCGTAGGACTTCTCTGCGGTCCTGGACTGGTAGGTGGAAGCACTCGGTAGCTGCCGCTGCGCGTTCGAGCATGACCGGAGTCCAGTATAGGACCTCGGTTGATATATGTTTGAAATGACTGTGAATAGGAGTGAGTTTGCGATGGTGATCCTGGAGTCTCGTCCTTCCTACGGCCAGATTCCAGTAAGATACTACCCTGTTCGCTCCCATAAGGTGGTGGCGGTGCCAAACTGCCAGTCATAGGCGCAAGCCCCCATTTCTTCACGTTGGCCTCGATAAAGACAAACCCAGCCTGTCCAAAATTGACATGAATGATGCAGGGGCCGTTGGCACCAACCGAGGGGAAGAAGTTTTGCGACTTCAAACCGTGCACGACGTCATCTAACCGTCTGCCATTGCGTGTGAAAAAAACAGTACCAGTTCGAGGGCGGTAACCGACGCCGATAACGTCACCTTGAACGATCGGAGGCCCGTATGGCGATGGCATGAAGGGCTGATTATATCTCCGTGCGCCTGTAGATGTATAGGCAGCAGAATATTTGTGGTACCCTGAAGACGATGTTAAGCTATGAACAGGGCCACATAGATATACGACACACGTACCTGGAAGTCTGAATAACGGGTAGGGTTTCGTAGACATTCCGATGCTTAATAATGTGGTTTCGGGCTTTTCAAATACCTTTGCCTCCCAGTAATAAACTTCGTTTTGTTTGGGTACAGGTAAATTGCTCATGACTGTACACTCGGAGTCGAAGAATTCGATCTCGGTCCTGGCTTCGACGAAACAGTTGGCGATTTCTAACTCCGGCTCGAACTCCCATGCCGATACGCCCTTTTCTTGAATAGCTAAATATTGTGATAATGAAATGTCCGTCTGGATCGACTCGGGTGGGTTTCCCTGTATAAAGGCTGACAACTAGTCAGCTGGGAATATAACATAGCGTTTGAGGAATTGTTTCATGTCCCTAACAGTAAGGAAAGAGAGGCTACCTTTTGCTCTGAGGTATTCGGTTCTCTGCATATCATCCATCGTCTCCAGGGCCTCGGCCTCTTCTCTTGCGAACGCCTGCTCATCATCATATTCGCCGGGCCGGCCGATACGGTCTAGGAAGATGCGACCGGATGCGGTGTGGCGGAAGAAATAGATGACGAGGAAGATGACCGCTACTATGACGGCAGAGCCAAAGGACGAGAGCAGTCCAATGACGATGCCATCTAGAGGACTCGTCATGATGGGCTGGTGGGGATCGTGTGCTGCTGGTAAAATGAGCGAGATCCAAAGCTGGGACGCTGCCGTCGCCGATTTGCCACAGTCATTCGGCCGCGGTCCTTTCGAGGACGAATATCACGGTGCTGTAGCGAAAGAAGAGGATAACACCGCTGGGGTCAAACTGCTCAACAGGTCTTTCGAAGATACGAGGATATTGTTTAGGCCGGACGAGGGACAATCGAGGTTGTCGTAGTTGGGGTTCTCGTCGTGGGTCACACGACTTCGATGGCCCAACGGGATAAATGGTGGAATGTGGCGGCGATAAGGGAATAGAGGCTGCGCTATGCCACAGTAAGGGTGTCGGTAAGGGTGAGTTTGCGCCCGTTTGCTGTCGGTGTGAGGGCCTGGGCCTGGGCTGAACTGGAGGCAGTGATGGCGATGGCGATGGCGCCGATGAGGATGGCAGAAGGAAGAGGAAAAGAAGATGCAAGATGCAGAGAACTCAATGGAAAAGAGAGCGAATAGCTTCGCGACCTGCTTGAAACGATTGGTTTAGTATATACTAACTAATAGGTGAGGGAAGAAAGCAAGCCAGCTTGGAGAAGGAACCGGAGTAACTGAATGGTAGAACGATAGCGAAGAGGGTACCTAATGTGACTGGTTACAGAGAGAATTGGTGGGATTGGGGTAATAATGGGGATGGCCAAGCAGCAATGGCAGCAATGCAGGTTGGACGACGACAAACGTCGAAGCGGTCTCGATCTCTGTCAATGCTGTCTGTGTTAGCCTGTGTAGCCTGTGTAGCACAGCAGGTACGGTACACTTAGGTAACTTTACCAGTGGTGTAGGTACGTAGGTATGCTGAGCTGGCGCGGTAGCCTCCTCCCGCTGCGCCCGAGCAAATCATTAGGGTCGTAGCAATCTGGGCACCTGGTTTGGCCTTTCCGGATTCGTCGGTGGTGGCTGGGGCGTGCCGGGGTCGACTGATACAAACCTCGACAACCTCCGCCCTAGTGACTGTTAGTGGTTCGCCCGTTACGTGCAGCCTTTGCCTTAACAGGAAGTGGGGTGAGTTTTTAGGTTCATCGTAGACGCTGCCCACTCCGCTTTTCTATACCTAGGGAATACCCGCCCAGAACAGGGCATTGACCAGAATCATCCCATTTCATAGCTGTAGCCTAGGTGTACACGTACTCTAGTGTATCTACATGGGGTGGCAACGTGGGCGTGATTTGTGTTGGATGACCCACTAAAGGCCACGGGAGCCGTAGTAATGATGTAAGATTTGCCCTTGCGGACTTTAAGTAACAATCCTTAACTAGGCTTTATATGTCCGACATATTAGACAGATCTGGGAGTTACTTAAAAGATTCCAACTACAGCCAATATTCGATAGAACTCTGGTTGAATAACCTTGAACTTACTTACTGCTTTAGCTAGTGTACCTAAGCAGGCCTCGTAAGCCAGGCTCCTTACTTTATTTAG